TTTATCACAAACATTCAAAATCAGAACATCTGGAGATACGTGGTTTTCACTGGACAAGTAGGGGATGAAAAATTACAAATTTAATAGAGTAAAAAGTAAAATATTGGACTCTGACATGTAGTGGAGTACAAGTATAAAGTAGCATAAAATAGAAATACTCAGTGCTGATTTTGGCGCCCCCTGTGGACAAAACCGGTAGAGTTTTCACCGCCTCATTTCATTGAATTCGAGGGGAATCTGAGCCGGTGGTAGACATTAAATAATAACCAGACAGAAATATCCAATCTCGTTTGTTTATGTAGGTCACATAAAGGCATCAATATTTAATCCAGAACCAGATAAAAACTCTTTAAGGAGACATTTTCTCTGCTGAGAGCGTGTGTTTATGGAGCAAGACTGCAGAAATACACTATAAACAACATACAGGAAGTTATTCATCCAGACGTGACACCGTACATTAATACTCCCCTTTCAGGACTCCACAATGATTCATCCCACAGAGAATAAAGTGTTCAGTTTGAGTCCGAAACACTTTTAACCAGGAGGCTTTTGGACAGTATGAGACAGTTTTATCTTGTGCTGTTAGCCAGCGCTGGTGTGTGTCACTGTGTGTGTGTGTGTGTGAGTGTGAGTGACTGCTTACATAATCAACCACTTGTAAACAAGAGAGCAGAGGCACTGTATGGGCAGCTTTTATTTCCTGTGAGCCCGAAGGAATTCAAGCACAGAATCGTTCTTTGTAGAATCGTACACTTCAGGTTCTTCTGTGTACAATAATAGACACACTGAACCTGAGTGATTTACCCTATAAAGAGATAATCCCTTCAAAATAAGAGACCAAAGCAATAGACACACTGAACCTGAGTGATTTACCCTATAAAGAGATAATCCCCTCAAAATAAGAGACCAAAGCAATGTCATCCCTGGAGTTATTGATATTCTAATTATTATCTTGACTCATTGTGATTCTCTGTTGTATCAGAAGCGACCAAAAGAGAGCGGAGATCAATTCCAAGGTTTAATAATTGGCCTAGTTAGCTGTCACAGTCACAGCCGTACTGACAGGATAGTTAAACAGGGAGAACCGATTGATAGCAGAGAGTCACAGGGTCGGGAAAATCAATAGATGTGTTCTTGTTGTTAGCATAAATTTGAACAGAAGACAACAGTTTAAATCAAAAAATCAGATTCAATTAAGTCTTGGTGAGCAAAAAAGGATAGATTTCATAGCTCTAATGGATTTAATGTGTGCAGCGAGGCCTCGAAAAGGCTGGACTGACGGGGGGGAAAGTCCAACACATCAAAAATCAATAGATTTCTTCCATTTGGGAGGAGAAATGTGCTCAGTAGCTCGTGTTAGTGTGAGTAGAGGAAAGGCCACACGGTCAGTAGGTGTCTGATCAATAAACGTCTCCCTCTTGAATGTGCACTGAATTATTAGACCAGAATAATACTTTACTTTGAGAAATGTAGACTTGATTTTGAACAAATCCACTTTTTCTTCATTTAAAGCTGCAGTAGGTTTGTTTCAACAAATAT